TCCACTGCTGGTTGAAGAGCTCTCCAAGGCTTTGTCATTGGCTTCTGTTTTCTGTCATTTTCATCTGTTTTTATCCAGCGAACTTCTTCAACGCTTCCTTTCATTCATCCTGAGGTCTTTTTACGATCTGTTTATTTTCTCTTTGAGTCCAGTCTAGTGTCTGGTTTAATGTTGGTCGGTTCTTTTTGCAACGTGTCCTACCCGTTGCTACTTTAATTCCTTCACTTCGGCAAGGATATGGCAGACTCTGGCATCTTTTCTTATCCATTCATTAATTTTCCTATTTTTCTTGTTATTCTGAATATACCTCTTCTTTCTTAGGATCCATGTTTCGTATCCATAGCTTAGCACTGGGAGCACACTTTAATAAATTACTTTCCCGTTTAAGGACAAGTGTAGTTTTTCAAGTAAGAACATTTTCATTCTTCCAAAGGGATCCGAGACATTTTATTCTTCTGTTGATTTCGCATGGTTCGATTCTTAGTTGCAGAGACGAGCTGTCTCACGTAGACGTAACAGTGCACTTTCAGAAACACTACTACATCGTTTGAAAATTGATATGTGGAACTGGAGGTGCCGCGATGATCAAATCGTGGCATTGTCAAAACACAGAGGCACACTGCAATTCAGCAATGCATCGCTGTGTTGGAGGAAGTAGTAATTGAGGCCTTGATTCCTCAAGGTACAAATGACCGAGTCTTACATAGTTTGCATTCGGGACTAAGATTCATAAAAACGTGAAAAAGTTTGGCGTTCTGACATTGTCATTGCTTCCAGTGAGAGATGCTTCCTCATGTTTCACTTTACATCGTGGCTCACATGTTGGCCGAGACTTAGACTGTAAAAATCGCGCATTGTCAGTCTGAACTGCAATGCAAATCCGTTCCAGTCAATGCCGATATAGACGAATTGCCACTTATTATTATAATACAATGGTCCCTCGTCTATCGCGGTGTTAGGTTCCAGAAACACCCGCGATAAGTGAAAATCCGCGAAGTAACGACCTTGTATTTATTTTATTATTTTTATACGGCTTAATGATTCTATGAAATAATAGATAGCTTACATGAATCTGTGATTAAGAAGAAGGATAATAAAAAAAAGAAGAGTGACTGATGGTGGCCCGTCTTATCCTTACTCTTGGATTGTCTTTATGACACGAGTATGAAAGGAGTAGGAAAACAATAAGCATGTTGTTGGGTGTAGGCAAAACTGTTCTTACGTAAATGGAAGAAGAAGCAGAAGTAGAATAATCATACTAAAATTTTCTTCATGAAAGTTTAATGAATTCTGCTGTCTGAATCAGCTTATAATAACGTTTTCTTACTTAATAACTATTACCTAAAAGACCGCGAAGAGAGAAAAAGGAAAATTAAAGTAGTTTATGAGGTTATAAGCCCTCCCGAAGCCCTTATTAACCTTTCCATATTTTATAAGCATTTTCTACGCTCTTAAATCTGCGCAACTTTAACACCATTTAAAATTCTACATAGGCATTCATCAATGAATATGCTACAACTTGAACAATGAAGAAGATGATGAGTTAGCTGCGCAGTACTGATGACGATAAAGGAGATGACGCCGAGATAAATGTACTCTGTGGCCAGGAAGAACATTACAGCTCATCTGAAGGCGCAACTTCATCAGGTGGTGTTGTGTCTTCGACCTCGCCCGTATCGTCTCTTTTCTCTAAAGATGTATGTGTAACTGGTGTTTTCATCCGAGTGAGGAACACAGTTGTGGAGAGTTGTTGGGGCTGCTTTTTTCTGAACGAGAAGGTTTTTATAAACCGACATGCCACCCTCGATTGTATTTGAAAACTGCAACGAGCGAATAATCTTGGGGTCCCATTTTTGAGCCACTCACTGAAGTTCTTTGACCATTCTAATTATAGTTGCGATGCAGTCGAGCTTGGCTCAACCTCCTCTTCTTCAGCCTCTAGTTCCTCTTGTTCCTTTTCCTCGCTTGCTGACCTTCTCATTTCCGTCAGATCTTCGTCCGTCAGCGGTTGTGAGTGGGCATCTATCAGGTCATTAACGTCATCAGGAGTTATATCGTCGAAGCCATCTCGTCCAAGTAGTTCTGATAGTTTCATGGCCTTATTAACCACAAAGTGATGGACTTCATCAGGAGAGAAACTCTTGTAATCTTGGGCCACTTCTGGCCACAAAATTTTTCAGCTTGCTTTTAAAGTTTCACCCTTTATCTCCATCATGGCCCTCTGAATATTTAGGAGGCACGAGGCAATGGTGTAGTCACGCCAGTAAGCCTTTATCGAGAATTCTTCATCCGAGTCGAAAGCTTCAGTGAGGGTTTTCAGGGCGTTCCGAGTATAGAGAGCCTTAAAATCTCGAATAAGGCCTTGACCCACTGGCTGAATCAGCGACGTGGTGTTCGGCCGCAAGAACTCCATCTTCATACAGTCATGCGACAGATCGATAGCGTGGTCTCCAGCGTTGTCCATGATCAGAAGCACTTTAAATTCGAGGCCTTTCTCTGCCAGGAAATGTTTAACCTCCTGGATAAAGCACTTGTGAAACTAATCCGACGTGAGGTATTTCATGATCTAGGCCTTGGTGTTGTGCATCCAGTACACAGGCAGCAGATTCTTATTCTTGTTTTTTTGTGCCCTTGGGTTTTTTGACTTATAAACAGCACTGGCTTTATCATAAAGCCTGCAGCATTCCCACACATAATCAAAGTAACACGATCTTTCTGGTCCTTAAACCCGGGAGCTTTTGCTCCGTCCTTCAAAATCAGTGTGAGACGGCATTCGCTTTCAAAATAATCCCATCTCATCCATATTAAAAACCTTTTGAGGCTTATAGTTTTCTTCCTCGATGATGGTTTTGTTTTCACGTACTCATCGGCTGCGGTTTTATCCGCAGAGGCTGCTTCTCCACGCAGAGAAACGCTCTTAACTCGAAAGCGTTTCTGAAACTTGTCAAACCAGCCCATACTGACATTGAATGGGGTTAGTCTGATAGGAGAAGCACTCGATGGCCCTGCTTTTGCGTTGTCGTTCTCATTATTGCCTTCAACGAAAGCTTCATAAAG